CCTTCTCTCTCTTTCTCTCCGATCTCTATCTCACTCTTTCTTCCTCACAGATTTTTTTCTCTCTCTTTCTCCATCCCCACCGTTTCCCTCTCTCTTCCTCACCCCATCGAGCCAAAAGGTCAATCTGAAGCATTGTGCATCGTCCTCAACCTGAAATCGAACCAGTTGTAGTGGTGGTAATCCCTCCCTCGTTCTCACCTGACTCCAGCTTAGATCTCTTCGATTCTCTCTCACACTCCCTCTCTTTTCTTCATCCTCACCATCCCCCTCTCTTTTCTTCATCCTCACCATCCCCCTCTCTCTTCCACCGAACCGGAGCTGAATGACCAACTGGTCTTGCTAGTCGTCTCCTTCCTTAATGCAACGGCAGAGGGCGTGACACTGATTAAGTTGGAACCAAAATCCAACCAGAACCAATCATGATAGCGATCTTTGGAAGTGTTGTTCCACTAGTTCTCAGACAAACTTCTTAGCGGGAAATCCCCTTCCTCATCAATGTCTTGAGTTCAGCTCTTGTCACGGTCTCTGTCCCAATACGAGCTGTCTGAAACAGCGAAATCTCCCCTATTGCAACACCTACTTCAGATCAGAATCGTTTGAAGCTTTCCCTTGTTCATCTATCGTCCTCAAGCCGACACACCATCAGGTAAGTCCGGTTATCTTCCCTCTACATTCAGTCTTCATTTTTCATTTTTTTTAGTTCATTTCTCCTATATCACGCTACTATGGGGATTTGAGGTTGGTTATTGGGGTTAGTAATGAGGATGTTGTTGAGTCGGCTCCTAAGAAATCTTCGACACCAGTTCAATCCCTCAGTGCTTTAGTTTCATACCAAGCCTTCATAGGCCAACATCCTATGAAGCCATCTTCATAAGATCAGATCTGCATCTCATCAACAACAGAGCATTTTTGGGTGGAATGCAAATGCCTGTCGTTTGGTGATTTCAATGGAGAAGACAATAAACAGTACAAAGTGTGAAGAAAAGAGTAGATTGGACATTTATAATAAAACTTTAAACAATCAAATAGAACCTTTTTTGAAGTTAATTGATGAAACACGAAGGGGAGTCTATGTCTAACCGTCAAAATACAAGGGTATTTGTTGCAAAAAGAAAGTGCAAGGGGTCTTTGTCACAGGCCCCATAATACAGGGGGTCTATGTAATTTATCCAAAAAAAAAGTAATACGATTTCATAAATTAAAGAAAAAGGGTAAAATAAATTAGAAAAGGATAGTTTAGGCATTTAGAAAACTTCAAAACAATCAGATAAGAATCTTTTTTCGAAGATAACTAACAAAACGCTAGGGGACGAGGTCTTTGCCTAAAGACTAAAGTTCATGGAGTCTATGTCACAAATTAAAGTATAGGGGTATTTGTCATTAACCCTTATATAAGGGGGGACTTTGTAATTTATGGTATTTACTCACAAAATAATTAGAAATTGGTGCAGGAGAAAAACCAAGAGTTCTTGTTAGTTTCTTTGTTATCATAAAACTCACATAGGACAGCCTAGAGCTAAACAACTAAATAAATAAAAGGAAAAATTCCTTAACAGTACCCTGAACTTTGGAGATTGTGTCAAGTTAGTCCCCAAACTTTAAAACGTGTCTTTATAGTACCCTCAATTTTCAAATTGTGTCTAATAGGTCTCTACCATTAGTTGACCATTAGTCAACACTGTCATGTGGCATTAGGTACACACTAAATAATTTTAAAATGGCAAAATTACTCTTTATGATATTTTTTTGACCATTTTATCAATTTCGCCTATGTTAAAAGAAGAATGGTTATGAAACCAAATAGGTGATCATCCAATTACAATTGATCGTTGAATGGGGAAGGTTGAACAGGGGAGTGGGAACTTCAACAGTTGATCGGTGTCTAGTTTCATAATCCTTCTTCCCCTTTCCTTCTTCTAACACTCAAATGAAATGGGTAAAATGGTTACAAAAAAATATCATAAAAGGTTTTTCCATTTTGAAATTATTTAATGCGCACATGATGTCACGTGATAGTTTTGACTAGCGATCAACTAATGGTAGGCAAGGTTCAAAATATCGATATGCCCGATACGGCAATAGGGCATATCGGGCAAATCGATACTATTTTTCGTTGCTTTTTTTTATTTTTTCACAACCGGTTAAGGGGGGGGCAATTTAGGGCTCCTCCACGACCTAAACTGGTCAAACCCCTGATACACCCACTGTAGGGGCATATCGGAGAGGTTTCAGAATGATATGTATTGGTTGATACAGGCCAATACATGTCAATACTTTGAACCTTGACGGTAGGGACCTATTAGACAATTTAAAAATTTAAGTATTACAGAGACACATTTTGAAATTTGGGACTGACTTGACACAACCCCCAAAGTTCAAGTTATTATTCAAGAATCTTCCCTAAATATAAGGGCTGATCAAGGCACATTCCATTTCTGATATCTATGGGAGTTTAATACAAAAAATCTCTTGTTTTGGGCCTTTTGGCTCTTGCTTGAGTGAAGATCATTGTCAGACAAGGCCACTAAACTCTAGTTTAGCAAAAGAAGAAGAGATGTGCTCCACTGGGATAAATAGAAGAAGATATAGGCTTTTGCCCTAACGTCTTTGTTTAGTTGCAATGTTTTTTGTTTTTTTTTTTTGTCAAAATGACCAATATACTCCATTTCACTCATAGATTACGATATGAAATGCTCATGTTCCCAAATTCAGATTTATAAAGAATGAGATTTTTGTTTCTTAATAACACGTTCTAGGAGGCCTATTTCTTTCCAAGAACATAAATATTCACAACTTGAACCATTCAAATGTGTTTCTGTTCTAAAAAAACACGAAAAACAAGAAACACATTCTCTAGAAGGATACCAAACAGGGCCTAAGTTGTCCACCATTTCCCAACTGACGGTTTTTCAAGTCTTTCAGAGTTTCACGTTCCAACTCCCAACTAAACACCTCCCAGTGAGTATAGTCCAGGCCCCAGTCCCCAGCTTCCTTTATATTTTTCTCATTGCCAACAAACACCTTGAATATGCCTTGATTGCAAACCCACAAAGAACTTGGTTCTGGTCGTGGAAGCGGAAGTGAACAAATGGGCAAAAGACTCTCTCTCTCTCTCTCTCTCTCTCTCTCTCTCTCGTTTCACTTTCCATTGGCAGTGTGTTCATCATGGAGGTTTCGATGCTATGGAATCGTTTTCAAAAACCATGTCAAGATTCCACAAATCACCGATAATGCATTGAGTCCCCTATGGGGCTCTTCATTCAATCAGGATCGTCATCGTACCAAATGCCTGGTTTACGTAATTCCAGTTTCCAGCCGATCCATATTGGCATGCTAAGCTAGATATTTCTTTTCTATACACACACAGCACTCTAAGCATCTCATTTTAAGATAGGAAAGAAGCCCACAACATCATAAAATTGGAATTCTATCTGTGCTTAAGATAACAACACAGTAACAAGGTCAAGCATTTTTTATGGGCTATAACAAGGTTAAATATCAAGTTATCACAAATGCTGACACGGTAATTACTTCAATAAGAAGTTAACAACTAGTTAATTTGACAACCATAAAGAGAATGCATTTTTGTAGCAGGTGAACTTATTCCACTGAACTTTTACTGGCATGAAATGGGTCACTTGCGAGCTTCAGCCTTCTTTTGTTCTTTGGCTGTGAATCAAGGAATCATGTTAGCTCGAATGCATCATATAGGATCTTTCAAGTTTAAAAATAGTTGGTGCAATGAAATGGGGCCATACCAGCCTTCTCTTCTTCCCTCTTCTTAGCTGCATCTGCTCGCTGTTGGCGTATCAGGGCTAAACGCTCTGCAAGGTCAACACAAAATCAAAATGATGAGATGTGTAAAATAAACAAACTGCTAAAGAGACGAGATACTAATCAGTCTTGCATAGATATAAACCTTCAGACCACCTGTAGACCAGAAATTTTGTTGGTCAATAAAGATATGCGACAACAATGCAGGAAAGCAAAAAAGATAAATTGCACCACAAACGCACAATAATAACACATTTTATGTTAAAATCAGTTTTGTAAGCTTAAAACATGGGTACTTTGTGTGGAAAAGGATCAAGGCTAATTTTCAGGACTTGAATGAATCACGTGAAAATAATGCTGGCATGCATAAAATATGGGAATTTGGATGGAAAAGGATCACTTTAACATCCTTGATGTTTACAATTGACAAATTACCATTTTCAGGACTTGATGACCAAGTGAAACGACCATTGGCTTTCCTTGACCTTTAGCTTTAGGTTTTATAATACAGCAAAGACCCTCTTCATTGAGATTTTCAAGTTCAACTGCATCCATCCTGGAAAACTTCTTCCATTTCTACCTATACCTTCTATTCCAGTCAGTCCAAGGTTGCCTAACAAACATTTATCACAATACACAGATTTCCTCAATTCCACTTTCTTAATCTATGCTTGCTTAACCAATTGACCTGTCACCTGGCCAGCTTTTCTGGTCCACTTAGCCCCCAAACTGTCTACATGCAAAAAATGTAGACTCGTTCAACAACCCAATGACCTGGCCTGTTGAAGAACCATTGTACCGCTTTACCTGATCAGCAACTCAGTGGGTCACAAGCGAGACATTAGTTCTCCTTTTCCATTGTTTCCTTTGGGGGGAAGTATATTTATCATTTCCTTTTTTTTCTCTTTTTTTTTTTGTATTTTTAGCCACTTCATTAATAACAATATTTCTTATTTATCACATTTTTTGTTTAAATGATGAATATATAATATAAGAGACATGCCTATGGGTGAGCATTATTCAGTTAAAAACGAAAAATCGAACCAAAATTTTCAGTTTTGTTTTTTTATTCGGTTATTTTGGTTTTAGGGAATTTCGGGTTAATTCAGTTTCACGGTATTTCAGTTTTTTGTTTCAGTTTTCAGATTTGAAAATTCAGTTAACCGGAAATCTGAATTAATACATGTTATATATAATATTATGGGTCTGACTATAATATGGAAAAGATACGATATCTGAAAAACTTCTGACCATCCAACTGGAATCATAAACGTGGTAGCCAATCAAGTGTTATTTATCAAAATTCATGGGTGGATTTTGATTGGTCAAAACTCTTCCCATACCATGTCTTTCCCGCATCATAGATTTTCCCATAATATTATGCATATAATATATTAATACATTCAATATATTGAAATCCTGTTTTAACCAAAATAAATAAATAAGAAATTTAGTTTGGTTATTCCAGTCTTGCCTTAATTCGGTTTTCGGTCTTCCTATATTTTTGTTATTGATTTTTTACAAGTAATACCAATTTTATTAATTAAAATCAAAGGATACATAGAATAAATTCCCCACAATGAGGCATGAAGTGCAGCCTCTAAACTATACCACAAAGCTTACAATTGAGCCCAAAAATGCTTATTCCTATGGACCCCTTGTTTGGCTAAAAAATCTGCCAACCCATTTGCCGATCTCCTTTCCCATTGAACTCTAACTGTTATATTTGTAGTTAACCATTTGAATCTTCTCAAAGCCCCCCTATAGGACCAGGCTACAGTCTCCAGCTCATTCAACCACACAATAACCAGTTTAGAGTCGCCTTCAACTATCAAATGTTCCACAGCCAATTCCTTCACAATCTCTTCTCCTCGTAGCACAGCTTGGACTTCTGCACTAACTGAGTCTCCCATGCCAATAAGACCAGAAAATAAAGCTACAAGGACCAGGCTACAGTCTCCAGCAGCCACTCAATAATTCAATTATCAAATGTTCCATAGCCAATTCCTTCACACTCTCTGCTCCTTGTAGCACAGCTTGGACTTCTGCATTAACTGAGTCTCCCACGCCAATAGGACCAGAAAATAAAGCTACAATCTGGTCCTTGGCATTTCTGAAAACTCGCCCAATTCCGGACGGCCCTGGGTTACCTAGACTACTACCAATTTTTGTTTCTATTATTTGATTTATGACATCACAGGTTGACTCATTTGACCCAGAGGGTTGAACCGCTGACCCACCACCCAAAGGGAAAAGCAGTTTTGTGGTCATTTTTTAAAACATTGCTTTGCTCTGCTTTGATAACACCATAAGCATACCAACCCTATGCATATATGTCTGGGAGGGTAATTCCCATACTACTTTAAGAACATTAAGAACCAGATGGGCTCTATACTACAGGACGTCCAGGTATGCCATCCTAGAAAATATTAACTAAGTTACCTGCATCATTAGGCAAGGCAACTTCCAGAATTACCTACTATGCACTTTCATGTAGCAAAATAAGTTCATGAGGAGTTTTCAAAACAAAAAAGGTTCATGAGTCGGTATTAACCATTTAGCAATTAGATATATGGAACTAAAACAAAGAAGAGAAAAAATAACCATTACTTTTCAGAGTTTACCTAAATCTTTTCTTGCTTGTTCTGTTTTCCCTTGCTCCTGCAGCCTCATGTATCGCTCATGAGCTTTTTGTTTCTCTATCTCCTCCCTGCAAATGACATGAGAAAAAACATGAAGATAGGACAAAAATACAGCATTGAAATTCTTACTCTAAACAACTGCAGTACAACCAATGTAACAAATTAGGCTATCAACATGAAAAGCTCTGCCAGTTAATCTCAAAGTACTAGTGTCTAGTGATACCCTGGGTTAAACATTTTGCCTTATTAGTGCTACCTTGGTTTTTAGAAGATTTTAAAATCTCAATAGTAAAATCTAAGGGCCATTACCCAATGTTGGTCCAGGATATATAGGTCTTGGGAGGGATGAACTGGATACAGACCTAACATTTGGCATTTAATTGGAAAAAAAATGAACTGGATACAGACCAAACATTTGGTATTTGTTTGAACAAAGTGAACACTCTTTGACTCAAACCCATGCTGTCATGCTTGTCAATATGAAATTCAGGTTACCTTACCTTTCCCCCTATTTGCTAATGTTGTTTATTCATTCATCTCAATAAAATATCTTCTTAATAGGCAATTAAAATTATAAAATCATTATTTTTTGTGTGAGAATTAAGAATTTAAGACCCTAACATGGACTTGTTCGGGATTGTCTCAAGGGGCATGATACAAAGGCAACTCATAAATCAAGAATGTAATATGTTTTACATCACATTAGCTACTTGAAGTAATGCAATTGAGGAAAAAAAGAGATTATGGGCTTTACATACTTGAAAATGTTTTATATGTTTGATTTTATTTTTAAATTTTCATTTGAATATGCTTTACATGTTATGTTCATGTATTTTAATTTTAGATAATAGGTTTTTTAAAACATTAATTTTATGAGCCAATGAGCTTAGTATCCATTAATGTATTTCTAGTAATTCAACCCCTTCACAAAGAACCAAACAACTAAGCTAATAGGGTTTCATTCTCCATCTCCAAAGAATCAGGAAGTGATTCTTTCACTATGTCTACTTCACAACCTTGTCCAAAAAGGGGAAAGGCCTTAAAACCATTTGTCACCTGTCAGCAATTCAATTCCAGTGATTCTAGTCCTACCCCGTCCTACCAGGTATGGGTGTCAATTCTTTTTTAGGTACTGACTTGTCTGCTATGCCTGTAACAGATATTCCAGCTTCCCATCGAGGAGGTTCTGATGCAAGAGAGAGGATGATAGTGGAAGGAAGTAGTAAGGGGGAGGCGGACAGAATTTGGGAGTTGATCTGTACAATGATGGAGGAACTAAAAAAAAAAAGGAAGGATTCTTAGAAAGATGTTGTAGCCAAAATAAGTGTGAGTAGGGTAAAATTCTTCCTCAAACATTGGCTAAAAAGGATGGAGAAAAGAAAAAGGGTGATTATTGTATTAGGAAGGGGGGGGGAAGGAACAAAGAAGAAAAAAAGATCTGAAGTGGAAAGGCTAATTTCAGACATTGAGGGGGATTTAGAATTCAGTGGTAGAGGGGATAGGAGGAA